ATAATTTATTTAATCTAAAAATTAAATGAAAATGAAAATTTTTTTCACTTTACAGGTATGTTAATAACTTTTTCTTCACAAATTATTAAATATTGGCCAGATAGTAGCAATAATGATTAAGTTGTATTAAAATGTATAATGAATAATTAATTATGTTCAAAATAAACTTATTAGGTATTTACGTTCAATTATTTTACATGTATTTCTAAAATCATCAATATGACAATATGCACCAGAAATACAAATTTAATATTACATATACTATATACATCATATTATTATCTTTTTATACCTCTGTTAAAATACTATAATAGGTAATTCATAAAAACAAATAACAGGTTTTACTGGTCAGCCATTAATTTCCAATTTATCTCCAGGTTCCAAGAATTGATAAATGCTAGAGGCTTGAATAATGTGATAATATACAATATACTATGCAATATAATCTGTATTTTCTTTAGTCAAATTATCTAAAATTTTAATTTAATGTAGTGAGGAGGAACTAAATTTTAATTGTTAAAATATCATTTTTATAATACATCAAAAAATCGGTTAATTTATTGTTGGTGAGTTTTTTAAGGTATCTAAATAGTTAAATCTATTAAATTTGTGTATTAAAATGAATATAGATGGAGACAACATTTTGGAATGCCCTAAGTAGGGTTACAATCATGTAGGCCTTTTGCTGCCTCAACTAATCCTTTTCAAACTTCTCCATTATTTGATTTTCTTTTTGTTCTGTACCATATACCTTTTTTAAATCTAACCTAACTTAACCTAACTGTACAGAATTTTGATTAAGGGGGCTGCAGTCGATCGTGTTTTAAGGAAATTAATATAGGCAATTTAACATGATAGCATTAAACTGACTTGTAAGTGTGTGCAATGTAAACGAACCTTAGTGTGTGTAAGACTAATCTCTCTCAATATTACCAGGAATCGACCCGCCGTCGACATCAAACATCGTAAACAATTAAACGTAAACGACTAATTATGTGGGTCATAAAATATATTGTTGTCAAAAGTAGGTTATTTTAGTATTCTATATTATAATAACTAAACCTATTTTTGTATACACAATTTTTTTACTCATTAATTACATAATCACTTTTTTTACGTAAAAGGAATAACACAATCAATCGCATACACCGAAACACATGTATATTATAAAAAAGGTGAGGAAAGTGAGTGCTAGAGAGGATGAACCATTACAACTTGGTACTTACTACTTACGTACTGCTATTTATACATATTAATATTATGTATTTATGCTATAATAATTTATTAAAATATATACACATGTATAATTAGAACTCGGCGTTATTTCACTCACATAAATGTACATAGTATTGTAAGTTAGATATCTTGGAGAAAAAAATAATGCGATCCAAATAATATGAATATTAAGTCAAAATGTCAAATTATTATGTTTTTATAGTTTATTTACAAACTTCTTCAGTAAAAAACTTAAGCGTAACTATAAAGGTTAGTCACGTAAACGACGGTTTCTATCAGCTCTTGAGTCTATTAACTCGGGCAACATCGCTTGGAAATAAAAATTTTCTAGCAATGTTTTCATTTTGGTTTCGAAAAAATCATCATCTCTTAAAATTTTTTGGTATAATATACCTGTAAACATACGTACGTGGAAATCAATTTACGATAGTTATTAGTATTACCAATATTTATTTGTAATTTAAGCATTATAATTACCTTTAGGTGACCATATTATAAAATAACAAAACAATCTTTTAGTTATTTGTAATTGACCCATAACTTGAAAATAGTATTTGTCACTTTTTTTTAACTGTAGATTTCCTTGATTGTCAACAGTTGCAAATTTTAATTTTCCAGTTTCTATAGCTTCTTTTGGAGTTAATTGTTTAATTGTAGATGGACATTTTATTTCAACTATACCGTTATCATCTAATAGTCCATCCGGACTGGCTGCTAAAAACGGTAGTTGTTCATAAATGAAAAGGCCAGATTCTTGAATTTTAAGCCCTGTTAGTTTTTGAAACTCTGTCTTCGCAAATGGTTCGCACTCAATACCATATCTTGTATGCTCATTTCCGCAAAATGTTTTATACAACATTGACTTAATTGTATTAGCTCTAGACGTCGCCGGTCGAAGTTTACAAATGGTTCCAAAGTTTGACGCGGTTAAACGAATTCGTCTTTCTTTATGCCATAATTCACATTCTGATTGAAGTTTAGTCGATTCTTCAATTAATTTGATTTCATTACTATTTTTTATAATTTTATTCGTTATAAATTCTAATTTAAGTTTTTCGTAATCATTTTCATCCATATCCAATTCTTTACAAATATCTTCTTCACAATTGCCATAGTCTTTATCTGCAGGTAAGCTAACTTTGGTAACTCGTCTACTACTTGGTTCATATGTAAGTTTTCTGTTTGTTTTACATATTTTCGTCGTCTGTTTTCTATTTATAAAACGTTTGGTAAAAACACCAGGACTTTTATTGCAAATTTTTTTGTGTAAAACACTTAAAGATGTTGCCCCTGCATTATATGACAACACTGCCGCGGTACACCTCGCTTGATATGACCCTTTATGAGAAAAGTTTATTCTCTTTCCACCTACATATTTAGCAACAACGCTATTATAACCTTCGACCGAATTATTGTTTACATTATAAATCAAACTTGAGGAACGATGAGCTAATAGATTTCTTGCTGACATAGGTATAAACTATAAATACTAAACATTTTTAAAACTTCAAGTAAAATACAAATTGAATAAATATTAATAATTAAAAAGGTAATAAGATAAGACGTTATTAAGGTAATTAATAGATTTGTAATATTAATACTTACTTTTTTTAAACCATTCAGGGCATTAATGTTACCTTTATTTTTCTTTCTCTTGGATAAAAGAGTCTTAGTTTTTTTTCCATAATGCCAGTCACTTTTACTGTCCATAGCACCAAAAATGAAAAATATGTAAATACTTTATATAAAAATTCTCTCTTTAGATACTGCACATTATACTATTACCTAACCAGACTAATCGAAAATCAAAATAAGAATATGATTTGTGCTTGCCGTTTAATAATATTACGTACCGGCAGGGGACCAAAACAAGTACGCAGGGCGATATATATATTTATTATTATTACAATAATAATATAATATTTATTAGAATTAAGCACACCGCCGGCAATCGTTTTCTTATCTTGTAATATTATATTCCAGGAATCGAATGTTGGCAGTTTATTTTCAATTAGGACCGCCGCCGTGAATTTTCGCACGCGCAGGCACATGTCAACTATACAGATTTTATCAAATATACTCATGCTATTCAAATGACAAAAATGCCAAAAAGCTAGACAAAACTGTGGGACTTGGGTACGACAGATTTTAATTTAGAAAAAATATATTAATTAGTCATTGTGTTAGTTAGGGAATGATCGAGGGGATTTTATTTATTCAAATTATTCGATAAGATATCAACAATTTACAAAATAAGAATTTTGGTATTTTATATATTTAAGTACGGCATTAATTTTTGTTATAATGATACATTTTCACGACCATGCTTTAGTAGAGTTGTTAAAGATTTTCAATTAGTTTTCAAAATTAAAATCCGTCCAACCCAAGTCCTACAGTTTTGTCTAGCTTTTGGCCTGTTTTACGTGATTATTGGTACCGGCTGCAGCCCCCTTAATTTAAATTTTGTTTCTGAGAAAACATTTGTTATTGTATTATTTTTATTTTGTGTAGGTACATGATTATATATTCAAACTAATTGTATTATGTGTTGATTATAGTACTTTTATAATTTATAATAATTGATTTATTATTTACTAGGTAGTACTGAAATGCAGATAATTATACAGGAAGTTTATAAATATTTGGGAAACAAAATTTGATTAAGTATCAATATTTGGATTATTCCTCCCACACACATTTTTTCTCCAATATTTCTTGAATCCTATGGGGTCTGTATAGTTTTTACTTTTTAACCTATGACAAGATGGTTCAAAGTAGTTTTGTATAATAAGAGATATGTTTTTGATTTAAACTATCAAAGTGAGCATCACTATAAGGACTAAAAAGAAAAAATTCATAATATAGAGACCCTGTGGCATCTTTTGCTTGCTATACTGGGAAATAATTTACCTGATAAAAGTGATTGACAGATAACAGAAAAGATCCCACCAGTATAATGACATTTTTTTGTAATCAGAATAACAGTTAATTTTTGGTTCTATATTTTTAAATAGTGTCGCTACTCATTTAATATTATGACGTAGAATATTAGGCTACATGTTTAGAATATAAATAAATGTCTGTATTTATTTAATTATAACATTTTATCATCATTTTTGATAAATAACTAAAATATATGAGATATTAATCAGTAAAATGTAATGCAATTCAATATTATTGATAGCCCTACTAGAACTGTGTTTGTTGAATATTGATTTATTAATATTATAATAATATAGCTTAAAGGTAATAGTAAATTTAGTATTTATTTTTACAACTCATACTCGGGCTCATACTTGTCTAATTAATTTTATAAAATGTATAACTCTGTGTTTAATTTTAGTTGATTAGTTATTAACAATATAGATGTTGAACTAATTTTTAATTGTTTTGTATATTAAAAATTAGTAGGCTAATACTATTTTCTTAAAAACTAGTTTTCATGTTGTCTTTATTTTAAAGTAATTTTGAAGAGTTAAAAGTTTTACCTAAGTTTTTGTATCTGGTTATTGAATTATATTATTATTTTTTTATATCAATTAAAGCCCCAATTATGTTTTCATTTTATACAAAAGTTTGTAGTATAAATGAGATGCCAAAACTATATATGATTTTTATTTTTATTTTTACAGATATTTCAAGCATCCTTAAGAAATTTGCTGTAAAGAAAATTATATCAAGTCATCAACTTAGTTTAATGTACTAAGTTATACCTACCTTCTTTGAAGACTTAATTTTAACGCACATTAAACACAACATCAAGTATGTCTTCTTGGCAAGATTATGTTGACAAACATCTTATAGCATCTCGATGCGTTACCAAAGCCGCTATCTCAGGTCATGACGGCACTGTATGGGCTACTTCAGATGGATTTAATGTTACCAAGGAAGAACTCAGCAGACTAATTGCTGGTTTTGAAAACCAAAATGTTTTGGCTGCTTCAGGTGTAACGTTAGCTGGCAGTAGGTTCATTTATTTGTCTGGTACTGATAAAGTCATTAGAGCAAAGCTGGGTAAAGTAGGCGCACACTGTGTGAAGACCCAACAGGCCGTTGTTGTTTCATTATATGAAGACCCCATTCAACCACAACAAGCTGCCTCTGTTGTTGAAAAGCTTGGCGATCATTTGGTTGCCCATGGATACTGAACACGAATTACAAAAACGATTAATGTGCTTCAAAAATGGAAGAAAAAAATTCAAAATTCAGATTATCAAGAACAACTAAAAACTATATGATATGGCATTTAATATATTACATTAAAATAACCAAATCTCAATTACACCCAATAAAATAAATGTTTATAATTTTGGGAGAAATATATTAGGTATATTATATTATATTATTTTATTTTTATTTATTTTTTAATGGAATACCAAACAACTATTTCATTATCTTTTATTATATTTTATTTCTTATAAGATTTTGATCCGCTGCTTGGGAACTATAGATTTGTTTAACATTATTATTGTTGTATACAAGTCCCAGATATTATTATTACTACCTAATAAAATTATCTTCATGCCCTTAAAATTGATATAAAACATAGTGAATCTATTGAATATTGTCTATAAATTACAATTATTTGATTATCGGCTATTGCTAATAATCAAATGTATGATTTAATTTTCAAACACCCTTGATTCATGTTTATATTTTTCTACTATTATATACAAATTTAATTTTAAAAGAAAATCATATTTTCTTTATTTTTAATGTTTTTGCTTTATACTTGTTATGATTTGCACTTTCTACTGTTCCATTTAGAAACAGTACCTAGTTAGATATTTATACAAAAATCCATGACTTGAACGAAAAAAATAGTACGTACCTAACAATTAAGTGTTTTGTAATTTGTTTAATATTTAATTGGCTGTGTGGTATCTTTATTTATGTTTATTAATTATTTGTAAAAATTTCTATGAGCAATAATAAACGTATAGCTTTTTATACCAATTTACGTTCCCTTTGGCTACCAAGTAAAATAATTTTGAAAGAAATATTGTATTGTATAATATATTGTCAAATATTTTTTTTATTATAACCAACCAATAAACAAATATTTATAGAACATTTTGCACTTATAAATGTATTTTTTTTTAAATTATAATTTATACAACCATCCTTATAAATTAATATCAGAAATCCTATATTTTTACAAGTTGGACTGATTAAGTTATTTGAATAGGCCATATTGGCGAACTTTAGAGTTTAGACCTGTAGTTTTTTGAAAAAGTTTATTATTGTGCAAACATAATGATAGATAAGAGCATTGAACTCTTGTACTTTTTTTATCGTCATTTTGTTTAGATATAATAACATTTATTTTTCTTTGAATAGAATTCTTACCGGACAATGTGAATATGTAACTGTTTATTCTGTGGCCTATTGAATGCATTTCACCAACACAATAAGTAGGATCTAAAGAATGGATAATGCTTTAATAGCTCAATGTTTCATTTAATTATCAGTTTACTTTTCAGATGTATTGGTATTGTAATATAGGTGGAAATTAATATTAAATTGGTATGTATAATGGGCTAAATATTCAAACTTATTAGATAAAATGATGACTATTTTTTAGGTACATACCACATGTGATGAAAAAGAAAAAGATGAACTAGTAATATACTGATCTCATGAATTTAAGAAGTACACCGTGGTAATCAAGAAGAAAATAACCGAAGAAACGGTATCTTCTATATTTCACACTGGCTACTGGCGTACTCAATGTTCACGGGCACCCTTATTCAGAATAGATACCATGAACACAATATAAATTATTAATCTTAATAATTTCAAAAACGGTAGGAACCATATAGGAAGTAATTTAATTTTTAATAGTAATTAGTTTTAAATTATTAAATTTATCTAAGAAAGTTGATATATTTTATTGAATTGGACAAATTCATTGAAATAAAAGCTGTTGGATTTCATGAATAATTATTAATTATTCCCATATTAGTTGTTATATTGCAAAATCCACAGTGGCACAGTACTCTTTAAATGGAAGGTACATTTTTGAACTACAGTCTTACTGATGTACTATTCTATTATCCACTATATATTATGAATTATTAGACACTTAAGTTGTAAAAGGTTTATGCCCTTGAATATTATTTATGTTTTACCTTCATATTGACTACAAATGACTATTGACATTTTTATGTTTTCGAAACAACTATTTCTGACCTTGGAATTTAATATAATATTAAGATGACCTACTATATAGTATAGTATATACCTAATATTCATTATAGTATTATACATTTATACATAATATTATATTATGCTGCTTTAAAAGGCTCAGCTTTCACTGATAACGAAATATGAATTGCTTTTGCGTGATTAACTCAACAGTTTTTCAAAACGTATTATTTTAATGTACAACAGGCTATCTTTGTGAAATATGTGAAATAGGTACCTACTACGATGTCGGCTGTTTGCGAAAGTCTTAAGTAGTTTTTTATGAATGAGTTTTGCATTGTAGGTAGAGGTCGGTAATTAAGTAACTTATCATTAAAATCAAAATCAAAATTGATATTTTGGTTTCATAAGAATATAAGATATTTCACATTAAATAAATAAGGTTTAAATATTTATTGTTACAATAAATATATTTGATTGTTATATTAGATTTTGAGCGGAGAGATGTCAGATGAATGTATTGATTTTTAATGCGATGCGTTTTTTTTTGTGCTGTACACGATAAGTATTCTGTTTTTGTTCAATAGGAAGGTGATTAGTTGGTGTATTGAGGAGGTCGATATGTAAAATTCAGTTTTCAAAAGCGCCGGGTAAAATAAATAAAAAATTAAAGAAAACGAAATTTTACACAAAATCGGATTCTCTAACCAAAAAATATAAAAACATTAACATTCGACGAAATGTCGAAATTACCTACATATTAAGTAACCAAGAATAACGATTTAAGTTATTTTTTTGTCATTTTATAATATTAATAATAACTAATAATGATAAGTCTAAATACAATATGAAATATCCAGATATCCTAGACTGTCTCCTCTCAGAATCGTTCTTCGTAGGTATACAATGGTATTCTATCATTGAATTCAAATTTAACACTATGCATAACAGTCACCCACTTGTAATCTACTGTACAGCAAAGCGACATCCACTTACCCTTTTTTTTAAAATGACTAATAATTATAGTATTATACATAATTTAAAAGGGGTATGAAAACCATCCGTTTCTAAGGAGTTCAAAATATGCAATTTTCTACGCAGCATTTTACACACTAATTACAAATGTGAATTTTAGTGAAACACTGAAACTTAGTTTCGTATTTCCAATAATATACCTTACTGAGTGACATAACTGTATGAACACCTATCACACAAATTGAGGAGAAGTTTATCTAAGCTTGTATAGGAGTCGATTTAAGATATTTTATTTTCAATGTCCAGTATTTAGCTCTAAAACTTGTGATATTTTATTTTTTTAATTTAAATTATTGAATTTAATAGGTAATTAAAATATCGAAAATTGACTTAAATACAGGCATAGATTAAATTCTCTTCTACTATATTGATTATATTCATACCCCTTAACGACCTTAACAATGTATATAAGAACCTAAGCTTGTATATTTTTTAATTTTAATTGAGAATATTTTTTTTTGAGAAACCACGACGACCTTTTGTACAGAACCTACTTAACTGTGTAGGACTATAAAAAATGTTGATCTTAATTAAATACTAGTAAGTAATAAATATTTAATGATTGAAATAAACTACCGAGATAATTTTTAATTTCCATTGAAAATTTGATAACTTAATGTACCATAATTATAATATATTATTAGTATTTTGTTATGATTTATGACATTAAACGATAACGTTGATAACAAATAACTAAATAAGTACTTAATAATTATAAAAGTAATAACATTTTATTGATTTTAAAGTAATTTATATTTACCTAATACTTTTGTGCATTAAATTAATTTTAATTATTTGGTACATAATAAATTATAGTCAATCTTGAGATATCGTAATGACTGCACTAAAGAATAAACTCTGATTAATTCAAATCATGACCTATTATAAAATACTTTTCTTATTTATAGGCCCCATGTCTAAATTATTAAATTTATATTTTTTATCGTCTAACCTAGTACTTAATGACTATTTATAGTGCAAGTTATTGATAATACCGTGAGTCATGACCCTCATGGAAAGATCCCCATAAAGTAATACCACTTCTATCTATAAATATATTTAGATACCTAATACTCTTTGATATTAACTAACAAGTTTGGTACCTACTGGCTACTACAGTACTCTTGTATTATCTAGAAGATATACATAACATTGATAACAACTTTCAAAATAATATGTTGACATGTTTATCTGAAAATAAATTGTTTTTATTTAAATTTATCACATTTATTGAAATTTTGCTGAGAAAATTCCTTTGGAACCTTCCTAAGGTTTCTATAAGGTTAAAGTTATATAACATTTTTTCAGTCTTCTATAACCATGGCTTCTTTTTCTTATTTTTGTCTGTTTTGTACATTGATTGTCTATTGATAATTGATATTTTCATTATTATTATCAGATATATGGTAACATATAAATTCAGTTGCGTAATTTTAGTTGGGGAAAAAGTTTTGCCCAGTCCATGACCTGAACAAAAAAATCGCTTGCAAGTTAATTTCCAATTAGATTTTATCTCAATACAATACAATTCTCATCTAACATAATTTTATATGTGTCGGGAAAATAGCTTAATTTTATAATAAAAATGAATTTAAATTAGTATGTCACCAACATGGCATCATTTTATAGTTTTCTAGATGGGTCGAACAAATAAAATTACAAAACTTAACTAAAAAAAAAGGTGGGTAAGTGGATGTCGCTCTGCTGTACAGTAGGTTACAAGTGGGTCACTGTATAATGGATGATATTAAATTTGAATTCAACGATATAATATCATTGTATAAGAAAAACGATTCTGAGCGGAGACGGTATGTCAGTCTATGTATAAGACATATTATATATGTATATAATATGTCTTATAAAACAAAAAATTGACCTATAATAGGTACCTATAATAAATTCCAAATTAATCATATCACAATGTCCATTAGGTACTTATAACGCGTTATACATCAACAAAAACCGT